AAAAGGGATAACTTAACATTTGTTAAGAGTGCATTCTATTCATAACATTTCTTTTTAAAAATAGTATGATTTAAGATTTAGTCTTGTTTTTTCATTGTTAATTTACCAGTAAAACTTTTTTAAAAAAATAAATAACAATTATCAAGAAAATCAAACATAAACTAAACTTATAGAAGTGGGTAGAAGACCTTTTATAACACCTCTGCATGGACAAAAATTATTTATATATCTATCTGCTTTAACATTTTCAGGGAAAATCGGTCATTTCTGTTCAGTAGATATACACCTTTTCTACCTTTAAGGCAAATGTAAAACATTTTTATTGTCCCTCCGCTGGAAATTTCTGTTTTTCAAGTTAAATAATCATTTTCTTTCTCCAAAAAAAAGTTGTTCATCTTGGAACGAGTTTGAGAATAGGGTATATTTGAAAAATATGCACAATATCTAAAATGTCTTAATGTATGACATGAAAATGTTGATTTTTTTATTTCTTCTTTTCTATCAATATGAGAATTCCTGTAAATAAAAAAGAATATAATTATGCACCATGGGTTATGAGAGGGACCTTTCCAGATAACATCTTGTAGTTGGAACCAGTTAGTTGATTATTCCTCTTTCCTGAAAGCTTCCAAGAAAGTTTCACTTCTCCTATCCCTCTGTTGGAATAGAGAAAACAGATTTCTAGAATCCTATCTGTTGAAGATTTTAACTTAGCTATATTATGATTTTTTTCCACTTTAACAAATAATTTCAGATATACTATTAATGGTTTTATATGTGCTTGCATTATTTTCCAGATATTTTTATTTATTCTAAAATTAATAATCTAATATTTTAAGGTAAATTTAAAAACTAGTTATTTTTTTCTAAAACTGTTTTCTATATATATAAAAAGCCAGCGACCAGAATGCCGTAACAACTGAAATGACAGAATGACTGGTTTCTATGCTGCCCACTGTGAACTGCCCAATCAGGGGCAGGGCCGCTGGCCAACTTTCTGTGGTCCCTCCTCCTGGCTGGTCTGGCCCTGATTGGCCTCCTCACCCCATAGGCCTGGGGCCCCTCCCCTCAGCCAGCCCTTTCCCCAATCAGCCCCACACTCCAATCAGGGGGGTGGGGCCGGCTGGCCAACCTCCTGCAGCCCCTCCCTCTCTAGCAGGTCCAGCCCTGATCTGCCCCAATTGGGGCCAGGCTGGCCAGACCCCACCTGTGCATGAATTCGTGCACTGGGCCTCTGGTAATAGATATTTTTAAAACTTTTAAGATTATATCCTGATCACTACACACTTTTTAGAATGGCCTAAATCTGAAACAGTGACAATACCAAATGCTGGATGTAAGCAAAAAGAACTCTCATTCATTGCTGGTGGAGATGTAAAATTATAAAGTCATTTTAGCAGACAGTTCAGTGGTTTCTTATAAAACTAAACATAGTTTTAACATATTATCAAGCTATTGTGCTTCTTATTATTTGTCCTTGGGAACTGAAAACTTATTTCCACTGAAAAACCTGTACATAGCTGTATATATCATCTTTCTCCATAATTGCCAAAACTTACAAGCAACAAAAATATTCTGTAGAAGGTGAATGAATAAGTAAACTGTGGTACATCCAGGCAATGGACTATTATTCAGTACTAAAAAGAAATGAACTATCAAGCCATGAAAAGATATGGAGAAAACTTAAGTGTAATATATTGAGTGAAAGAAGCAGATCTGAAAAGATCACATTCTCCCGTTATTCCAACTAAATGACATTATGGAAAAGGCAAACTATGGAGACAATAAAAAGATCAGTGTTTGACAGAGGTTGAGGGGTTATGGGCATGGATGAATAGGCAGAGCTCAGAGGATTTTTTTAAAGCAGAACATATACTCTACATGATACCATAATGATGAATACATGTCATTATATATTTATCTGAACCCATAGAATGTACAACACCAAATGTGAATCATAATGTGATCTGTGTTGGTTCAAATCATTCATTTTGACAAATTACCACTCGCTGGAAAATACTAATGGGAGGCTGTGCATGTGTGTGGGCAGGGAGGATATGGGAAACCTCTGTAACTTCTATTCACACTATTGCTGTGAATTAAAAACTGCTCTAAAAATTAATGCCTTAAAATTAAATCTTTCTCTTATATAAATAAGTTTCAGTGGCTTTGTTAGTATGATTTCTGCTCAATGACAGATTTTTATAGTTAAAAAATTAAAAAATAATGTTAACTCCATTAAGGAAAATCACAACATTGCCAGAGTTTTAACAGTGTCTCTAGGGAGGCAGAGCAGAGGCAGACATGTCATGACAACTGGGGTTCTGTTATAAGGTGAGTTTTTCAATGTGTAGGCCTGATTTCTATTGGGTGAGGTTAATGGTGTAATAGCTTAATGTAGTAAACATAATGACATGCCAATTTCATGTTGAGAGAATAAAGCTACTCTTAGAGAGTAAAGAGTGTCTTGTTTTGCATTAAAGAACATTTTCTCTTACCCAGACCAGAAAAGGGGATGCAAATGAATTGAGAATCATTACAAATTAAATTAAGATATCTTACCAATCATACTTTAAGCAAATGTAATCTACTAACCATCACAAAGAGATTTTTAAAAAACCTACTGTGAGCTAAATGTGTAATTTACATTTCATTCTCTTTTTATGCACCACATTAGTTTTTACTTCTTATCCAATTAAGGATATCATATTAATAACAGTTTACAAAAATAATAAGATACATATTCATGGCTCTTAATGAAAGAGACAAAATACCTCCCTGCCCATGGTTGTTTCTATCCTGTGCTTTAACAGCAACTAACCTGTTATCTTGAATGGCTAGTTGAATTGCTTATATTTTATTTCCTAGCTTTCTTTTTCTGGGTAGAGGAGAAAAGTAAAGGACTCTGAGCTGTCAAAAATAACATAGCTTCTTAGCTTTAGGGGAATTTTTTAATGATGATACTACTTTAAATGTGCCTCTGATAAACTTCTTTCACTGAAAGGGAGTCCATATGTGATATAGGCATATTTGTTTACAGATCTAATCACAGCATTTATATTAATAACATAAAAGGAAAGCTTCAACCCTACTTGTAAATTTATTTTAGACTTTTGATATTATTAAGGAATGAGGATTCTGATACTCAAAATTTTCATATTCAAATGCTCATTTGAAAAAAAAACAAATAAAAAGTATTATGCAAGGACTGCTAATCCAGCCGTTTTACTTCTGGGCTTAATTGGATTGACCTAAAATTGATATTTAATGTCAGTATGCATTATATCATCAACACAAGCAATAATTACCTGACATAAAAGAAGCTATGAAGAGGAGTCAATGATTAAAATCTCAAACTAAAGATATATTAGTTTATTTCACTCAGTCTTAGCATAAACACTTTTTAGTCACATATGTTAGACACTTAATATACCAATTTGATGCGATCTTTCTACATTTTTATCATTTATGTTTATCTCCTAGACAGAGACAAGTGAAGGGAATTGGAGCCCAATAAAAAGGCCTTGGAAATGATTATACACCTTTTCTTCCAGGCAGCATGTTGACTGTTGTCTCTAAATACAGGTGTGTAAAGTCTGAGTTCTAAAGGCAGGTACACATCATCGATTACAAGCCTTTCCCATTTGTGTGTAGAAAAATAAAAATAGGCAACACAAGCTTTGTTTGAGGAAATTATCACATGTATTTATTTATGTATATTTTATTCCATTTATCCATGATAAGTTAATATTAGATGCTTTCAAGTGAGTATCAAGAATATTTTATTTCAGAAAAAAAATAAAGAGATTACCATGGCTAATATGGAAAAAATCAATAGAAATGTGGAGAGAGTGATATATATACATATATATATATATATATACATATATATATATATATTCATATCACACAAAAGTGACACATTCAATATTTTTAGCTGCATAACTCACACTGATATTATCTTATTCACCCTGTTTGAAAATGTACCCCCTCATTTATATCAGCAGTCCTGATCTTCCTTTCCTGTTATAATTTTCTTTTTTATTTCAGTTATCACCAAATATGTTAAATAATGTATTTATTATGTATGTTTATTACTATCTGTTTTCTCCCTTAATGTTAACTTCATGAGAGCAAGGATTGTTTTGTTCATTGATACATCTCAATTGTCTATAACAGTGCGGCATAAATATAGTAGGTGCTTAAAAATTAACATTACAAATAGTATGTTGTGTACATATTTATGTGTACTAGTTAATGCAGGGATAAAGATAGATAGATAGATAGATAGATAGATAGATAGATAGATATAGATAGATAAATAATATATGTTTCCAGATTTTGCAATTATACTTTTCATGTATTTCTCTAATTTTTCTTCTTCTGGTGTTTGAGCTGTCCTTTGTCATTTAAATAGGACACAAAATAGAAAATGCACAATGTTTAGAAGTTTAAATCAAAAAGTCTATCTTAAATGCCTAACCTAATATTCTGAATTCAGAGTCCTGAGATAAATGCTTTGTTAAGCAAAATGCTTTAAAAATTATCTTTTTTTCAATGTCTCAACTCTATATATTGTTATCATAATGCTCTGAGGTTGGTTGACCAATATTTCTACTAAATCAAATAAAATGAAAGTTACTCCTCAGCTAAATAAAACAATTTTGTGTTTCATCCAAATATTTCAATGAAATGGTTGCCAGATCTCAGTAGTATCATCTGAGCTAATAGAGCTCAGACGAGTTTGAGTTAGAGGCAAAAATTACTGCACTATAGAAAAATACAAAAGTATTTTACATAACTATGTTTTAAACTGGCAAATCTAAAATCTGGAAAGCTCATCTATAATAATAAAAGCATAATATGCTAATTAGACCAGACATCTTCCGATGTCATTCTGGACGTCCTTCCTGACCAAGCCAGGCCAGAGGGAAGCCAGCCAGGGTCCCTGGTGGCTGCCGGCAGCCGGGCGGGAGGGAAGCCCCAGTCCCGGGTGCCAGAGAGAAGCCAGTGCCGGCAACCGGGGAAAGGAAAGCTTGCTCTTGCATGAATTTTTGTGCATCGCGCCTTTATAGTTTAATATTTTCATCACCAATGGCAAACTAGTTGGGTTGTTACAACCTATCAAGCAATGCAGGTGAATTCGACTGTATTTTGAATTGTCTTATGAAAAACAAATTTAAATTTCTGATGAAATATTTAGGTCTGGACTCAAAGTGTTCATCCTCAGTGGTAACTAAATAATATCATCTTCATGCATTTTTACTGCATATTATAAACTAGAATCATTTTGTTATTTGATTATTGGCTTTCTTCCTCACTAGCATATAAGCTCTATGAAGGCAAGAGCTTGGTATGCTTCATCATTTTTTCCCAGTAGTAAGAAAACTATGTCTCATAAAGTCTAGGTGCTCAAATAATAGTTGGCCTCTGCAAAGCCCCTTTTCACGCTCCAGCCCCACTCCAAGAAGGGCTCTGAAAAGCCTTTGTACAGAACATTTAAGGTAATAAATACCTTTTTCTGAAAAACATTTCTTTATCTTTCCCAGAAACATCTCCACATGTGAGTTATAATTCTATTGTCACATTAGAGAGTTCAGTAGGTGTGAGCTCATAACCTCATACTTGTCTTTAGAAATGAGCTGATTTTCAAGTTATTTTGTTCTTGAGACAATAGCTTGAGTATTAACGTAAAAAACAAATAGTATTAATATGTTGCTTGAGAAAAATGGATGAATGGGGAAGACTACAAAAATGCAGACCATGATGGTGGAATAGGAAATGATCTATTAAAATTAGATCATTTTAATAGATCATTAAAATTTTAAATATGTTAAATCCAAGATGTCTTTTAGGGATTCAAGTAGCTATAATGAGTATTCAGTTGAATGTATAAGCCTGGAGTCAGGAGAGAGGTCTTAGCTGAGTATGTAAATTTGGGAGTTATTATATCAATATTTAAAGCCATAAGAAAAGAAGTAAATGTAGATATACAGAAGAGGCCTAAAGATCGATATCTGAGATGTGCCAGCATTAAGCAATTGTGATGATTGGATTTACCAACTAAAGAATATGAGAAGGAGTAATCAGAGAGGTCGGAGAAAAAAAAAGTAGGTAGCTGTGGTATTCTAGCCATCAGATAAAAGAGATTTTTGAAAGGCTGCGATTGAAATGCTAGGAGTGAAATATATTATTTTTCACAATATTTAAAAATTATATTTAGTTCTATTTGTTTTTATTATAAAACCAACAGGTGCAAAACAGATGCATTAGGAAAGAGAAAAAAAGTAATTCATATTTAAGTTCAGTAAAACATGAGCTGAGACCTAAAGCCATTATTAGTCAAGTTTAATTCCTTCCAGTTGATTTCCTTTTATGCATAGTCCTAAATAATGAACTAATATTGTATGTACAGATGTTATCAAACTTACATATTTTACATTCAACCATATGCACTTAGAATAATATCATTGCTTATTGACTACCTTTTTTTTACATTTTATTGAAATATAATTCACTTGTAACATTATATATTAAAGAAATAATAATTCATAAGAGTTTAAACTGTACTTCTGAACCTCTTATTGATGGATATTCAGATTTTATCTTTCAATCAAAAACTATTTTTGAGAGCCAATTTGTGACAGATGCAATAGAGGGAAGAACAATATTCTAGAGAAAAAATATATATACAAGTCAGTAAACAATTACAAAATTATACAAAATTTAGAAATTCATATTTATTATAGCCCAAGTATTATTCTGAGTGCTTTACAGATGTTATCATATTTAATCTGACCAAATCTTATATGAGCATGAGTGTGTGCACAGGAATGGAAGAGTTTGGGGTTATTTAAAAACTTCAACTAGTTCATGTAAACATGACTGGGGTCTAGCTTATGGCAAGGGGGTTGCTCTGAGGAGACTGCCTGGAAGGGTGGCCTGAAGGGAAAGGCTGGGACCACTTAGCCGTTTCAGAGAACGTCCCATGTGCTGTCTGAAGGAGATTCTGGCGATCACGGAAGCTGTCAAAGGCTTTAGAAACGGAATGGCATGAGCAGATTTATGATCTAGAGACGGGTTCCATAAGTGAGACTAGAACCGTGTAAGCTACCAAAGAGACGGCTCGGGGAGAGGTGTGAAGCATGAAGCACACCTGGCTGGAGAATGCTTTTCTCTGCTTAGGAAGATTTCTCTTAGGAACAAAGAGTAAATAGGTCAAGAATGTGAATTTTGGAACAGAAGTTGATTATTTGAGAAAATTTTCTCAGAATATTTGGCCACCTTGGAGTGCAGATACATGGTTTTATTTTGTTAGTTTGTATTTATCATTTATTTTTATCACCTGGCCAAAATCATAGTAATTGCCAGTTGTCATTTATATTTTCTCTCCATCTTTGATTTTAGCTATTTGATTAAGATGTGTCTAGGTATGTGAGTGTTTTTTTTTAAGTTTCCATTCAAATATCTTTCTGAGATTTCACTTTAAATAATTATTACTATTTTCATTGTTATTAATATCATTATCATCATTAATACTTGTGAGGTAATAAAATTTTCAGCATTGTCTTATATATGGAATTCATTCATTCATTTGACACGTTTTCTAAGTTCTACTAATGACAAAACTGTTATACTAAGTCATGTTGTGGGCTCCCAAGGATGTATAAATCATAATGGAAAAGTAATATGCTTCTCACCAGCAAGGCAATAGTTTGCAGACATGCTTGCTTGTTTCTCCCAGTGGCCAGCTTGTTATCCCATACAGAGCCCAGCTTTCTGGACTCCAAGCCTCATCCCCAAGAATGCCTTATCTGTCTAGTGCGGTGGTTCTCAACCTTCCTAATGCCGCGACCCTTTAATACAGTTCCTCATGTTGTGACCCCCGATTTCATTGTTTCAAATTGAACATAATTAAAGCATAGTGATTAATCACAAAAACAATATGTAACTATATATGTGTTTTCCAATGGTCTTAGGCGACCCCCTGTAAAGGGTCGTTCGATCCTTAGGTTGAGAACTGCTGCTCTGGTGGTTCCTGGTTCCTTCCTAGTCTATACTAGATGTTTAACCAATACTATGTTACCACTTTGCCTATTGAAGGCACTCAAGGATTCCTCTTTGTTCTCTATTTCTTGACTCACCTGGCCTGGTAAGAGCCAGAGGCCTGGAGCCTACTGGAACTGAGCCCCTTAAAGGTACTAATGCACAGGAAATGGTACCTCAGGGACAGTGCCTCTCAACTATTTGATTTTTTTTCCCAGTAGCTAAGCTCTTTCATGTTAAAAATAAGAGAGTTGAATTAAAGAATTAAAGAATCTTCAGAGTTCTATCCAAATGAAAATCTGTGATTCTTTAATTTCTTAAGGAAAACGAGTCATATGATTTAAAGTTGGAAAGCAACAAATAAATACATACTTGTTGTAAAAATGAGAATACTGAGTCAAAAGAAAGTTAAATGAATTGCCCCAAACCACCTATATATACAGTATATATAAAAATAAGTAATATGCAAATTAGGTCAGGATGTTATAATGGTCGTGACCAGTTCAGGAGGAGGGACCTGGCTCACCCTGAGCCTGAGAGAACAACATGCAGGCACAGTCCAGAGCTGGAGAGAACAACCCATCAGGGGGATCCGGGCCCCACCCCTGCAGCGGTGCTCGGCTGCTGGGGCTGGAGCCAGAGGGGAGACAAGCCTGAAGGGGGTCCAGACCACAGCCTGAGCCCCAGGGCCAGTGCTGGGCTTCTGGAGCCAAAGCCAGGGGAGACACAAACCCACAGAAGTTGGCCCTGATTGGGCCGGTCCCTATGAAGCCCCGTGTAGCTATCAAACCACCTATCAGGGGTTAGGGCCTTTAGCCAACCTCGCAGTCCCTCCCCCCATGCCAGCCTGCCCCTGATAGGACTCTCCCATCCTGATAAAGAGCAGGGCACACAGAGCCTGGTCCCTTCCTGGCAGCCCCGAGTCCGTGGGGTTGAGAATTCTTATGGTTCTGATGGGGCTAGTCTCTGTGACATCCACTGTAGCCATCAAACCACTGATCGGGGGTGGGGCCATCGGCCAACCTCGAAGCCCCTCCCCCCTGCCGGCCTGCCTCAGACTCTCCCATCCCCATCAAGAGCAGGCCACAGAGAACCTGGACCCTTCCTGGCAGCCCGGAGCCCATGAGGTTGAGAATTCTGATGGCCCTGACCAGAGAGCAGAGGCACCTGGTGGGCAGGGACAGGGACCACAGGCCTCCAGGGAGCAGGCAGAATTGGCAAGGAGAGGAGAGGGCCTGCGAAGGGGGAGGAGGTGAAGCCAGTCATCATCAGCCCAGAATCCAGCCCTTCCCCTCCAGAGGCAGCAGGACTTAAACCCAGAACCCCAGCCCGAATCCGAAGAGCCCTAGGGAGGCTTCAGGAAGCTCTATGCAAAGCTGCGCATTGAGAACTAGAGACTTCGTGAGGCCCTGACCCAGACCACACTGTTGCTGGGGCAGCTCAAGGTGGAGCTGGAGCCCACCACACAGAGGCAGGAGCGCTTTGCAGAGAGGCCGGCCCTCCTGGAGCTGGAGAGATTTGAGCGCAGGGCCCTGGAGCGCAAGTCCGCTGAGCTGGAAGAGGAGCTGAAGGGCCTGTCCAACCTCCCGGCTGACAACCAGTGCCTCAAGGAGGAGAAGGCGGCCCTGATCCGCTCATCAGCAAACTGTCCAAGTGACCCCAGAGGATTTGCCCCTGCACCCGCATTTATACAGCTGCTTCTGCCACACGCACCCCTTACCCTATGAGAACATGAGTGACAGGAATGCTGGGGAGTGTCTGAGAAGCCATAACTTCCCCTTGGGACCTCCAGGCTGTGAGGGGAGGACAGAGCCCCCAGGAGCCAAGGGGGCCATCTGAGGCCAGGGTGGAGACGGGAGGCTGAGCCAGGTAGGGGGACCAGGGCTGCAGGCAGGACCAAGAAGGAACCGAGGACCAGAAAGTGCCAGGACCAGTAGCCAGGACCAGAGTGGCCACCCAGAGGTCCCCTCTCATATGTGCTGCCACCAGTCACCCCTCCAGCCTCTGAGCAGGGATCTGAGAATGTGCCAAGCATCCTACTGGCCTAGGCCAGGTGAGCCTGTATATAGGGTCAGTGTGCAATAGGAAGGGATGTCTTCTATTTTTTGCTGCCCCCTCTCCAACGTTGTCCCAGGCAGGGAGAGAATGTATTTTGAGACATAGCACAGGCACCACAAATAAAACTTGTGAAGCTGCCTATGACTGGCCCCACCCCAGATCTGCCCCCCCACCACGATCAGGAGCAGGGCTGGCAAGCCAACCACCCATGGCTCCTCCCCAAACTGCTGGCCCCTGATTGGCACCCCCCCACCTCATTCAGGGGTGTGGCTGGCCAGCCCACCTACACAGCCCCTCCCCATGGCCGGCCCCACCCCTAATCAGCCCTCCAACCCCAATCAGGCCAGTAGGGGGGATATTTGGGGGCATCAGGCCAGCAGTTGGGGGCATCAGCCTGGCAGGCAGAGTGGTTAGGGGCGATCAGGCAAGCAGGCAGGTGAGCGGTTAGGAGCCAGTGGTCCTGAATTACAAGAAGGATGTCCAACTGCCAGTGTGGGATTGGGCCTAATACAGCAGTTGACATCCCCTGAGGGGTCCCAGATTGGAGAAGGTGCAGGCCGGGCTGAGGTACCTCCCCTCACCCCGTGCACAAATTTCATGCACTGGGCCTCTTGTATAGATATAAAATGCAAACAAAAAGTAAGAAGAAGATCTAAGTCATGGTTCTTGACCACAAGGAAGGCTTGGAAGAGCCTTTACAGCTTAAAGGAAATTTGTTAAAAGCTTGTTTCTATTGTTTACTTATCTATAAATCCTAAGCAAAGTGACTCAACTTTTTAAAAATTCTATCTGCCCTTTCATGAAATAGGACAATAATGGCAGTATTGGCTCCCTAGGGCTGACATGGGCAGATAATGACGTTGTTGACAGTGCTTGGCTAAGTGCTATCAATAAATGTATTATGGTATTAATGCATGGACTGTAAATTAGTGAGCAGAGAAACTGTCAAATCAGCATTCTCTGCATTATTTTGAATGGAAATATGCTACAGTTCTCACAGACCTCAATTATACACAAGAAGGTTAGGAGCAGGTTGCATGTTTGGTTTTATGCAGTTATTCAGACTGGGTAGTGTTTTTAAAAAATTAATTAACCTAACTAATATATTTGCTTGCAATGTATGGAAGGTGGTATGGTTCTAATAAACATGGAGCACTTGATGAAAGTAAACATAGAGATGGAGGTTGGGATGGAGAAACTGCAGAGTAACTGCTGTAGAACTAATTGTTTTCTTCAGTGCCAGCGTGGAGTTTCTAAAACATATTTTTTAGGCAATGCCTAAATTTTTATTCTTGTTTATTGACCAAGGATTGCTTCATTTACTGTGCTAACCAGGTTGTGTAGCAGTTGGCCGGCCCTACGGTTTTGCTGAATGGGTCCTGTGAGTAATGCCCACAGGTCTCCCATAGATGGCAGCATTTCACAAACAACACACTGACTGTGACCCACCCAGCTCCCTCCCAACCTCCCCCACCCCCCTCTCCAAGCCCTTACTCTTTCCTCTCAAAGAGAAAATAGCTCCATAATCTGTTGACAGGATTAAAGACCCCTGTTGTTTAACAGGAAGTAAATAAATCCTTATGGCATTCTGAAAACCTCAGAAGTGAATGAGAGTGGTAAGAAATTGTTTATTCTATGGTAAAGGTATCAAATGAATATTTACAGCATTTAAAACAATTACCTTAGATTGATGTGGACTAGTGTTAAAACCCAGCCTGTTTGCATTATCTAGTTTGGAATATCTGTTAAACTCTTACACAGTAGGTTTACTTTCTGAGTACAGAATTTCTTGCCAGCATGAGTTATAGTGAACAGTAAAGCTGAGAAGACAGTGACATTTTCTTTTTAAATTCAAATAAGGCATTGAGAAATTAGAATATTATCTATTATGTATGCAAATCATTGTATGAAATATATGCCAGGTGATACTGTGAACTATACAAATAAAATAAGCAAAATAAAACATACAATACTAGAAGATAAATTGTATCATAATGGCTATGTTTAAGCAAAAGTTTATCTTTGACAAGAAATTCCGTTGAAAGTCTCAATTTTAAATAAGGTTAAGTTAGACATAAAAAAGCACTCGTTAGACCATTGATGCTGATTTAATTGGTTTTAACTAGTATTCTTAAGTACGTTTCTTAAATAATTCCAAAATGATACAGGGCAATAATCTAAGTCCATCAGAGAAATTTACCCAGTCAATTATGTGATCCTGATACACATTTGGGTTTTCAGCAACTTTAGACTGCATTATTTTTTTAACTCCTATTTTTTTTCCTGCAATTTTGTTTACACTGTATATTTCAGGAAGCTGCTGATTTTTTTAAAACTTTTAATCCTCACTTGAGGAAGTTTCCATTGATTTCAATAGAGAAAGGGAGAGAAAGAGAAAGGAAGGGAGAGAGAGAGAGAGAAAGAGAGAGAGAGAGAGCATCGATCTGTTGCCTCCTGTATGCACTCCGACTCCAACTCTCAACCAAGAAGAAAGAAAGAAAGAAAGACTGATGTAAGAGAGAAACATCTGTTAGCTGCCTCTTGTATGCACCCAGACCAGGGACTGAACCTGCAACCTGGGGATGTGCCCTGGTTGGGAATTGAACTCAGGGTATGGGACCATGCTCTAACCAACTGATTGAGTCACGCTGGCTAGGGCAGAAGTTGATGACTTTTTTAAAGAATATTGATATGTGATGATAATATATTATTAACTAAATGTTTTTCATATTTATAATTTTCATATTTTTAAGATCAGTATTTCGAATAAGAAAATAAAAATGGTCCTACAAATGGTAATCTAATAAAATGTCTGATCTTTTTTTTTTTTTATTAATCCTCACCTGAGGGTATTTTTCCATGGATTTTTAGAGAGAGTGGAAGGGAAAGGGTGAGACAGAAACATCCCTAGATGTGAGAGAAACACATGAATTGGTTGCTTCCCGCACTCGCCCTGATCAGGACTGAGCCTGTAACTGAGATACATGCAGTGACCAGAATTGAAACTGGAACCCTTCGGTCAGCAGGCCAATGCTCTATCCATGGAGTTAAACCAGCTAGGAAAAATGTCTGATCTTTAAGAGTACAACTAGTCTATAAAACTTAATGAGGGACCAAGTATGATTTTTCTTTATATTCAAGTGTTAAACTGAAATGTTGACTATCATTCTACTCTTATTTTTAATGAAAAATAATTAAATAAATTGGTCTTAAGAATTAATTAAACTCATACTCAAATACTAGATATAATATTAATTCTGCATCACTTGGACTTCTCAATCATTCTGGTCTTCAGTTGCCATATTGATAAATGTGAAAATAACTATTTTATGTAAAACACATAGTGCTAATTTAGTAAGTGGTCATAAATATTATTTCTGGAAATTTAATACTGAACATTTACTTGAGTAATAATCCAGAAAAGGCTGTAAAAACTAGATACAGTGGCAGATCTCTGTTGCTTACTACCCCTTACACTTGAGTATGTCATGTGATTGTGCACTTTCATAGTGCAAACTGATGCTATTGATAACCAGTCAATGCCTGTTGGCCAATCCAGATGTTGTCCATCAAGAATATTAAGCTTGACAGAATTCATTTAGCAGCCCAGAGTAGTGAGAACATTGCACAATTATGTTGCATCAAAAACATAATTCAATAAAACATAATAATGGTGATAAAAAGGTGATGAAAAACTGACCAGTAATTGCTTTTTTTCCTCTTAGCTTATGATAAATACTTTTGATGCTTTATTTACTGCTGCTGCTCAAAGAAAATAAATAAAACACTGTGTAATGTGCTTTTTTGTATGGTAAGAACATAACCTGACATCTTCCCTCTTAACAAAATTTTAAGTATACAGTGCAATATTAACTATAGGCATGATGTTGTACAGCAGATCTCTAAAATTTTTTCATCTTGCTTAACTGATACTTTATACCCATTAAACAACTTATTCTTTCACTTTTCTTCCAACTTCTAGAAACTATTATTCAACTTTCTACTTCTATGAATGTGACTATTTTCAAATACCTCAAATAAGTGGAATTATGGTGTATTTGTGTTTTTTTGTGTGACTGATTTATTTTACTTAGCATAATGTCCTCAAGTTCATCCATGTTGTCACAT